TCTCTCTAATAACATTTAGGACTGTCAAGACCTTGAGATCTTTGTCCTGTCTAACACTTGCAAGAACTCAAAAGGGAACAAAAAAGAAAGGTCATTGCAACACATACCAGGATACCCCATTTTGGTGAAAACGTTGAAACAACCTTTAGGCCCATCAAAAGAGGATGGAGCAAGGATTGACAGGGGCATATTCATTCAATAATTGTGCCCCATTGAAAAGGGCAGACACCACCTGAGGGAGGACATTAAGTAGAAGGGGGGAAAGCAAGTTGTAGGAAAATACAAGAATATATTCTACTAGAGACCTGGTGCACGAAATCGTGCACTTGGGGAGGGTGTCCCTCAGCCCAGCCTGCACCCTCTCCAATCTGGGACCCCTCGGGGGATGTCTGACTGCCGGTTTAGGCCCGATCTCTGTGGGATCAGGCCTAAACCAGCAGTTGGACATCCCTCTCACAATCTGGGACTGCTAGCTCCTAACCTCTCACCTGCCTGCCTGCCTGATTGCCCCTCACTGCTCCCCTGCTGGCCATCTTGTGACAATGTGGGGCCGGCCATCTTGTGATGTGAGGGTCAATTTGCATATTACCTCTTTATTATATAGGATAGCAGCAGTCGCCATCCGGTGGTCTGCAGACCACTGGTGGTCCATAAAGTCCAAAAGATTGGCGACCACTGTTCTATAGTGTGTTATAAACTTAACCTAAAAAACAAATATTGAACTCTAAATAATATGTATGCTGGAGTGTTTAGAGGAGAAAAGTACTGATGTCTGCAACTAACTTGAAATGTATAAAAAATAAGATAGCTGATAAAGCAAATATAGCAAAATGTTAATAATTTAAGAATGTATGTGGTAAGTATATGGGTGTTCACTATACAGTTCTTTCAACTTTTCTGTATGTTTACAAATTTTCATAATAAATATTGTGGGGAAAATATATTCAGTATAATCCCTTTTATTTCTTAACTATAAAATGTTATCTTTCTACATGTTCATGTTTAGGCATATAAATGCATTCAAAAGTAGGAAAGGTTTACACACTAGAATGATAGAGAGAGGTCTAGGGTCACTTGTGCTTTATCTATACTGAGGATTCTAATATCATAATCTTGAGATAGAGTATCTGGACCCTTCTACAATTTAGTCTCTGACCTTGCTACAATAACTAAGCCATTTTGCAGTTTAAACTCTGACTTTGTCTATCAGACAAACTGTATTCTTTGCATTGTCTGTTTTACTACAAAACAATTGTTTTATTGGTGTATTTTGCAGACTTCAGGGGAAACTGAGGCATTGGCCCCTGCCTTGTGACCTGCCCTGCTGACCATATCTTATGACTCCAACTATTGGCCATATCCCATGACTCTACCTGCTGACCATGAGTCATGAAACTACCCATTATTCTTATCGCACAGCTCCACTAGCTGACCATTGAGTCAGCAGTCCCCTAAAAATCCAGTTGCCCCCACCAATCAGAAAATGAATAAGTTATGGTCTTGTATCCCAACCCCTTGATTAGCAACTCCTTGAAACTCTTCCCTTTAAAAATGTTGCCTTATTTTTTCCACCTTAGAGTGTGTCTTTGGTTCATGCCAAAGGATACATTTTCTGATTTGCAAGTCATATCTAAATAAAACTGTCTTTGATCCCTTAGAAGAGTCCTATGGGACTCTTCTTTCATTTACTCAAACTTTCATTTACAGTACCGTTTACTTTTTTTTATGAGAATACATAAATTCATTATGCATTACTTGGCTCTCAAAATCAAATAAAAAAGAATGAATTTTAAGAAAGGGGTAATGGGAAGTATACATAGTACTTACTACCTGCACCCCAAACACATACACACACACACACACACACACAAACATAATTGAATTAATCTGAGTGCCACTGTTTGAAGGTAAGTTGCTTCAAGGGGTCAAATGAGTTAATGTATGGTTTAGCCTGTACCTGATATATAGCATGACCCCAGGAAAGGGTTCCTCCCACTGTCATCATCATTATACATGTTATTGGGCTGTGGGGAATGACAAGTGCTTTGTAGGTAATTCTTTGTCTGATAATATTACCACGGAAAGTGGCTGAGTCACGTTGTAGCATATCTAGACCAGTGAGTCTAACCTTTGGAGCTCGGCGTGTCAGCGTTTTGAAAAACCCTAACTTAACTCTGGTGCCGTGTCACATATAGAAATTTTTTGATATTTGCAACAATAGTAAAACAAAGACTTATATTTTTGATATTAATTTTATATATTTAAATGCCATTTAACAAAGAAAAATCAACCAAAAAAATGAGTTCGCGCCCTAACCGGTCTGGCTCAGTGGATAGAGCGTCAGCCTGCGGACTGAAGGGTCCCAGGTTCGATTCTGGTCAAGGGCATGTACCTTGGTTGCAGGCACATCCCCAGTGGGGGGCGTGCAGGAGGCAGCTAATCGATGTTTCTCTCTCATCGATGTTTCTAACTCTCTATCCCTCTCTCTTCTTCTGTAAAAAATCAATAAAAATGTATTTTTTAAAAATGAGTTCCCGTGTCACCTCTGACACACGTGTCGTAGGTTCGCGATCACTGCACTAGTCAATAGCTAAATCTCTCCACTCAGGCCTTAAGGGACCCCAGGATGGGTGGGGTTTCAAGAGAGAAAAACCTTTGTCCAGGCTGCCAATATGTCTGCCCTCTTCCAACAGCCTCCTTGTTACCATAGAGTCAGGGGGTGCCAGAAAGTCTCCTCCATTGGCCAAGATGGTGCAGGGGGAGGTTATTATATTGAACACCTTGAAAACTAGCAAGATAATTGGATAGAAAAAGACTTACATTCCCATCTTGGCAGGGGAGCTCAGCTGGTTAGAGCATCGTCCCTGTATGCCAAGGTTGTGGGTTTGCTCTCTGAAACAACAAATAATAAGTGGAACAACAAACCAATGTTTCTCTTTCTCTCTCTCTCTCACAAATCAATAAATTAAAAATATATATACATATTCCCTTGTGGGGTATCTTCACAACTAGATTCAGGAAAACAGTGTCAGTTTTAGCTCGAGTATGTCCAGTGCCTCGCAGATGTTTAGACAACCAACCAGCCTGCTTTGTGTCGAGTACTAGTTTAGGTGCTGGAAATTCAGCAGTGAACAAATGCCTGCTGTCCCAAACCTGACATTCCCAGATGAGTTAATACTTATTTTGTTATCAGTGTTTCTTCGTCTGACATCATTTGTTTATTTATTTTTAATCCTCACCTGAGGATATTTTTTCCATTGATTTTCAGAGAGAGTGGAAGAGAGAGGGAAAGACAGAGAGAAACATCGATGTGAGAGAAGCATGTTGGTTGCCTCCTGCAGGAGCCGGGACCAGGGCCCAGGCCGGGGAGGAGCCTGCAACCAAGGTACCTGCCCTTGACGGAAGGGGAGCTGGGACCCTTTGCTTCCAGCCGACGCTCTGTCCACTGAGCCACACCAGCGAGGGCTAGTCTGACGTCATTTAGATGAGCACCAAGCTCTTATGATAATATCAGGTCATCAGAGCCCTGATAAGCAGCAGGACTTGAACCTGCCCCGAATCACCCCAAAGATCTCCTGGCCCCCCACCTTGACCACTCACCCACAGCCACACCCATACATATGATGGAGTGAATTAAAAAAGCAAATGTTCTTATCCAGTCAGAATAACTTTTCAGAAGAGTGGGGGTCATTTTTGAGTTTTAGTTCAACACAAAGAAATCTCACTTTTCTGTTCAAAATCATTCAAATCTGTGCAAGTAGCAGCAACCTCAACCGTGAGTCAGGCAGATAAGAAATAACTCGGGGCCTTGATGGGGTTAAAACTCACGGGTATAGATTGGATCACCTGTAGGTGACACCCCATTATCTACAGGTTCAGACCTTCCTGCATGACCGGTGACTGAGGCGGGGGCGGGTCCAAACAAACCGCGGGTTCTGGCCGGGCCGGGATGAACCATCTCCGTCCGTGCGCGGGGGTGGCGAGTCCGCTCAGCGCGGAGTGAGGACCCGGACAGCGAGGGGTTGGGGCCGCGCAGCCTCGGGTCCCTTCATGCAGGGCGGCCGGGAATGGAGGGGCCTTGCCGGCGCAGGAATGAAGCTGCGGGCAGGGGTCGGCCCCCTTCGTGGGATTATACCCCCCTCCGTGGTGGACTCGGCTGCAAAAGCGAAGGCCCGCGTTATCCGTAGTGTTTCCCCCGCAGGCTGTGGTGCGGGGGAACGCAGGTCCGGGCAAGGGTCCGAGACACGGGCTGGGGAGGGGGTGTCAGGCCCGGGGTGGGGGAGGCCAGGGGTCGCGGATCCCGACCTCTCGGGGCTGCCGCCCCCTCCGGTGCGCGCGCGTAGTTCAGGGCGAGGACCCCCGGCCCCGTGGCCCACCCCGCGCTTCCCTCGCCCCGCAGGCTGCGCAGGACCGCATCTCCCGCTCCCGCTCGCATGGCGGGACAAGAAGGTAGTGGTGGTGTTTGGAGCCACGGGTAAGCGGAACCCCGCCCCATCGGAGGCCCCGAAGCGCGCGCGGGGACCTCTCACCCGCCAGGCGGCCCCCCTCCCCCAGCTCGGGGGAGACATCCCGGGGGGGTCGGGAGGGGAGGGTGCGATAGGCTGGACCTCTGACCCCGGCGGGGCGTGCGGACAGGACCTGAGCGCAGATGTCCTTTGCATCTTAAAGAAATCACTTTGACTTCTTTGAATGAGTAGTGATTGCACATCATACCGACATTAAATCTCCCTCCCACCTCTGTACCCCCACCCCACCCATCTCTGTTACCAAGTTTCCTGAGTATCCTACCAAGTTAGAAATATCTAAATTATTTTCAAACGATAGTGTTTTATTTTGCCCCCACCTGTTCTTTCTCTCTCTCTCTCTCCCCCAAAAATGTATACATTTTGAATAGTTATTAATTCCAATGGGTTAAATCTAAAAAGAAACATCAATTGAGCTATCAGCTGTTAAAGTGTGTATACATTTTTGGGGTACCCTATATATATGTACTTTATATATATAACATATATTGTATACTTATGTATGATATATACTTAAATATATATTTTAAAACATACAACAGCTTTATTGAGGTATAATTCATATATTGAGGTATGAGTTGCATACTGTTTACTCATTTAAAGTGTGCAATTCACTGGTTTCTGGTATATTTGCAGAGTTCTGTGGCCATCACCCAGATCAGTTTTAGAAGATCTCATCATCCCAAAAAAAGAACCCCCATATCTATGTGAATGGAACCCTGACATACTAAACCTGACAAGCCCAGGAGAGGCCTGCATGGTAGGCCTTACAAACTCGAAGACCAAAAATAACCACACAGAATGGTTATACAAAGTCCTAACTAGAAGCAGATTATGGCAGGTAGTTGAGTCCTAGGACTATACCTTCCTTGACCAACCTACCTTAAGTGAATCTATATCTTTTTGCATCTAAGGTAACATACTTTTTTTAATTTCTTTTTTTTTTTTATATTTTATTGATTTTTTACAGAGAGGAAGGGAGGGAGAGAGTTAGAAACATCGATGAGAGAGAAACATCCGATCAGCTGCTTCCTGCACGCCCCCCAGTGGGGATGTGCCCGCAACCAAGGTACATGCCCTTGACCAGAATCGAACCTGGGACCCTTGAGTCCGCAGGCCGACGCTCTATCCACTGAGCCAAACCGGTTCTGCTAACATACTTTTTTTAAAAAAATAACTCTTTTATGTGTGAAGTATACATTGGTTCCCCCACACACACACACCATGGATCCCTCCCAGCTCTACCTGACCCTCGACGATTCCCCAGGCCTTTAGCACCCTATTGTCTGTGTCCTTGGGCCGTGCATATATGCATACAAGGTCTTTGGTTGATTACCTCCCACCCACCCATCCACCCTCTCCCTCCTTCCCTCTGAGATTCCGCACTCTGTCCCAGGCTTCCATGTCTCTGGTTCCACTCAGTTCATTAGTTTATTTTGTTACTTAGATTCCACATGTGAGTGCGATCATGTGATACTTGTCTTTCTCTGACTGACTTATCTCACTTAGCATGATACTCTCCAGGTCCCTCCGTGCTGTCTCAAAGGGTAAGAGAGCCTTCTTTTTTACTGCTGCAGAGTATTCCGTGGTATAAATGTGCCACAGCTTTTTTATCCACTCACCTACTGATGGGCACTTGGACTGTTTCCAGCTCTTAGCTATTGTAAATTGTGCTGCTATGAACATAGGGGTGCATACATTATTTTTCATTGGTGCTTTGGGGTTCCTAGGATGTATTCCTAGAAGTGGGATCACTGGGTCAAATGGCAGTTCCATATTTAATTTTTTGAGGAAATTCTATACTGTTTTCCATAATGGTTGCACCAGCCTGCATTCCCACCAACAGTGTACTAGGGCTCTAAGGCAACATACTTTCGAAATGTCAGAGTTATTGAACAATGGGCCTTAAAAGGACTGACTCCATTCTGTCCCTCGCCCTCCATCTGAACCATAGGCACTCCATCTTGTTCCCGTAATCTCCATTTTGTAAGAACTGCCGTTTAAAATTTTCTGCTAAACACAGATGGTCTTTTGTTCTGTTAACTCCAGGAAGTAACTAAACCAGAGAGCCTCCCTGATAGAAGTAACTCTGCTATTTCTAGCTTCTGTAAGCACGCTTGCTCGAATAATGGGGAAAATAAGACATTTGGGGGGAGGGGCTAGCAATCTGAATCTGTGTCAGTAACCTAATGTACATTTTTATCAGCCTATAGTCTAGTCACTGCCCCCTCTTAATTATCTGGTCCGTCCTTGGTTCCTCCCATGCCAGGTGTCTTCTGGTTATCTGAGCTATGCTGTGCTCAAGGCTGCAAGCTTTCTACACGATATCTGCCAAGCACACTGCCCCCATCCCAGCACATGGTTGGTTTTTTTTTGCCTTTATAAGCTAACCCCTAAGTTCATTGGGGGCCGGGAGGTTTTAGAGAGACCTTAGCCTTCTCACGGCCTCCGGCGTTTGCAATAAAGACTCCAAATTCGGCCCTCTAACTGTGGCGTCTTCTGTTTGACTCACTGAATTCCAATATAACATTATCCTTTTTTTCTAAAATATATTTTTATTGATTTCAGAGAGGAAGGGAGAGGGAGAGAGAGAGAGAAACATCAATGATGAGAGAGAATCATTGATTGGCTGCCTTCTGCGCACCACCTTTTGGGGATCGAGCCTGCAACCCTGGCATGTGCCCTTGACCAGAATCGAACCCAGGGCGCTTCAGTCCAAAACCGACACTCTATCCACTGAGCCAAACCAGCTAGGGCTGTTAGAGAGAGAGAAACGTCGACGGGAGAGAGGAACATTGGTTGCCTCCCATATGAGCCCTAACCAGTAATTGAACTCACAAGCTTTGGGTGTATGAGACAACACTCTAACCAACTGAGCCCCCTGGCCAGGACTTCTTAGATTTTAATGTATAAAATAAGCTCTAGGCCCTGGCAGCGTAGTTCAGCTGGTTAGAGCATTGTCCAAATACGCCAAGATTGTGGGTTTGATTCCCCGTGAGGGCACATACATGCATCAACCATTGAATGCATAGATAAGTGCAACAACAAGTTTCTATCTCTCTCTTTCTCTCTCCCTAAAATCAATGACTTTTTTTGTTTTGTTTTAAAGCTGCAAAATGTTCATTCTCCAGAGCATTTTCTCAATCTGTTGAAATTTTGCTTCCTGGTGATGTCAGTTTGGCTTAAATAAATTTTAAAAAATCATCTACAGGTTTGGATGTTTCTTATGTGAACACCTACTAGCAATCATTCCCCATTTCCCCCAATTTTCCTCGGCTCCTGGCAGCCACAAATCTTTTGGTGTATAGATTTCATTTGGTTATTGTTCGTAATACTGCTATTAACATTCATGTACAAGTTTTTGTGTGGATGTATATTTTCATGTTCTCTGAGTAGAATTGCTGTATCATATGGTAACTCTATGTTGAGCATTTTGAGGACCTGGTAGGCTGTTTTACAAAGTGACTACCATTTTACATTCCCATCTGGACCTGTATGAGGGTAATTGCAATTCTGCAATTTGCCTTTTCCACTCCAGGACACATGGGCACCAATCTGAGCCATACATATCGATCTGCCACATTCTTTTTAATGACTGTGTATGGATTTATCACTTATGTAACCAGAATCCTACCAAAGGACAGTTTGTCTATAAATTTCCATCCTTGGAAGTAGTGCAGCAGCCAATGTTCTTGTACGTACAGGGATGGGCAAAAGTAAGTTTACAGTTTGTTTGGAAAAAAGACATGCAGGTTATGATTATTACAGTAGTTTTATTAACTCAAAAGAACGTCACAATGGCACAGTAAACCTGTTTTTATGGAAAATAATAAGATAACTATATATATAAAAGGCTAAGCGACCACCCGACCGGCTGGTAGGTATGATGCGCACTGACCACCAGGGAGCAGACGCTCAATGCAGGAGCTGCCGAGCTGCAGTGACTTGGCAGCGGTGGTTCTCAGGTGATGTACCCTGGAACCAGAGAGGAGGGAGCCTGATTCTGGGGTGCATCACCCGAGAACCACCCTCTCGCAATCCTGCCCTCTCGCAATCCGGGACCCCTCGGGGGATGTTGGAAAGCCAGTTTTGGCCCTATCCCCACAGGCCAGGGCGAGGAACCCCTTCTGCCCGAGGGACCCCAATTCACTCCACAGATGCCCTTAGAGCTGCAGCGCCCCCCCCCCACCCCCAGTTGTGACTGGCTGAGGAGGGATCGCAGGAGGTTGGCTCCAGGGCGTGTCCGGCCCATCTTGCCCAGTCCTGCCCCACCGGCCACCTTCTAATTAATTTCCTTTCAATGTGCATGAATCCATGCACTGGGGCACTAGTTAAATAATAATAAAGAATAACCTGTTTCACATACTCACAACTGTAAACCTACTTTTGCTCCACCCTTTATTTATTTATTTATTTTAATCCTCATCAGAGGATTTTTTCCATTGGTTTTTAGAGAGTGGAAGGGAGAGGGAGAGAGAGAAACATCATGTGAGCGAGACACATCAATTGGTTGCTTTCTGCATGTGCCCCTACAGCTGAGGTACATGCCCTTGACTGGAACCAGACCCAAAACCCTTCAGTCTGTGGGTTGATGCTCTATATACTGAGCAAAACCAGCTAGGGCTGCTCCACCCTGTATTTATGGATGATTTTTATTTTCTTCCGTTTGATTATTTAATTTTCTCAATCTTTTTTTTTTTCCAAAAAGGTATAGGTAATATTTTATTTCTTAAGCTAAGTGGTGGGTACATGAGTGTCACTATCCCTTTTTGTATCTGTAAATATTTCATAATACATTTTTAAAATTTTATAAAAGGTATAGGTGTGATGCCTGCTAAAACATGGATGAACCTTGAAAACATGTTGAGTGAAAGAAGCCAGAAACAAAAAGCCACATATTGAAGGAGACCATGCACAGAACAGATTAGTGGTTGCCAGGGACTGGAGGGAGGAGAATGGGGAGTGACTGCTAATGGGTATGATTTTCTTTTTGGGGAGATGAAAATGTTCTAAAATTGACTGTGATGATGGTTGCACAACTCTGAATACACTAAAAACCACTACATTATACACTTATTTTTTATTGATTAATTTTTAGAGAAGAAAGGAGAGAGAGAAAAACATCAATTTGTTGTTCCACTTACTTATGCATTCATTGGTTGATTTTTGTATGTGCCTTGACCGGGAATAGGATTTTGGTGTATTGGGACAACGCTCTAACCAACTGAGTTACCGGCCAGGGCTACACTATACACTTTTAATTATGGGTAATTATGGGTAAATGAATTCTGTCTCATGAAAGCTGTTATTTAAAATCAGTGTAAGGCAGTTTAATGAGAGTGAGAGGTGACCAGTGTCTTGGGCGTCCCGCTGTGGTGGAGCATTCCCTTCGGGGTTTTAACCTTCGCAGGACTCCCAGGCACATTCGACCCTTTAGGTCTTTTTGACTCTTCGCAGGTGCCCAGGGGGGCTCAGTGGCCCGGACGCTCTTGGAAGATGGGACATTCAGGGTTCGGGCTGTAACCCGGGACCTTGGGCAGAAGGCAGCAAAGGAACTGAGGCTGCAAGGTGCAGAAATAGTGCAGGGAGACCAGGATGATGAGGCCAGCATGAAACTGGCTCTGACCGGGGCTCATGCCACCTTCATCGTGACCAACTACTGGGAGAACTGCAGCCGGGAGCAGGAGGTCAAGCAGGTGAGGGCAGGCCGGAGGGTGTGGGGAGGCTGGGGCGAGTTGCAGTGCATCTTAAAAGGAGCTCCCAGGTCCCCGTTGGTTCCTTGGAGGCAGCTTTACCTTGCCTGTGAGACTCACTCCGACTAGGACCACTGAACCTGCAGTCCTTTTCCCTCGCTTCCATGAAGCCCTCCTAGATTTTGATGCGGGTAAGAGGAGGCTGCTTTCTCATCCAGTGACTCTGGACCATACAAGTCACCCTCTTAAAGTGTGCAATTCATTGTTTTTTAACATATTCACAAAGTTGTAGAGCCATCACCACTACCTAATTCCAGAACATTTTCATCACCCCAAAAAGAAACCCTGTACCTGTTAATAGTCACTCCCAACACCCCCTCCCCCCAGCCTCAGGCAACCACTTATTTCCTTTGTCATCCAATGACTTCTTATACTTTCTAAAAATCTAACTCTATTGACCCATAATTTCTTATAATATACACATTTTAATTGTACAGTTTGATAAAAAAAATTTTGTTTCTTTAAAAATGATATTTTTATTAAAAGTCTTAAAATGAAGAGATAATGATTAAATACGGGTCTGGAATTAAAAATGACAATTGGTTAGAATTCTCTTGGTTAGTTTGATAAAATTTGAAAGTAAATAAACCCATGTAATTGCCTTTTGATAAAAATATATTTCCATCAACCCAGAAAGTCCCCATGTCCCTTTTCACATGTTCTGTTTTCCTTTGTTCTGTTTTCCACCCAGATTCTCTCTAGTTAGGTGGTTATTGAACCTAGATCAGTGATGGCGAACCTATGACACTCAGAGATGGCAAACTCATTTTTTTGGTTGATTTTTCTTTGTTAAATGGCATTTAAATATATAAAATAAATATCAAAAATATAAATCTTTGTTTTACTATGGTTGCAAATATCAAAAAATTTCTATATGTGACACGGCACCGAAGTTAGGGTTTTTCAAAATGCTGACACGCCGAGCTCAAAAGGTTCGCCATCACTGACCTCAATGGTGGTGGCAGGGATATGAGAGGAACCATGAGACGTGGCCATCTTTTTGTCTCATTGAAAATCGAGACACTGGCAGAGAGCCAGACACATAGAGGACACTCCGGTCTTTGTGGAAGGTAATACTTGGTGCCAGAGGAAAGGCCCTAGGCTGGGAGTTACGCACTTCAGTTTTCAGTCCTGCCTCATCCACAGCTATGTCTTTGGACATGTCACTTCCCAGCTCTGGTCTTTGTTTTCTTCCTCTGTAAAGTAAAGGGGGATTGGACTGGGTCACTGGTCTCCAAACCTGTTTTTAGCCTTGACCCTTTCTTTGGTTGTATCTTACATGGAAGCTCATTCCATAGAGAAGACAAAGACAGTTTCTCTGGTTGAAGCAGCTCTCGTCGCATCCTGATAACCCGTATTAGTGCCCCACAGCTGCCGTAACAAGACCACAAGCCAGGTGGCTTAAAACAATGGGAATTTATTCTTTCTCAGTTCTGGAGTCCAGAAGTCCAAAATCAAGGTTTTTGACAGGGCCAGGCTCCTGCTCCCTCCAAAGACTCTAAAGGAGATTTTGTGCATTGCCTCTTCCAAATCCTGGGGGCTGCCAGTTCTTGTGGCCACATCACTTCAGTCTCTGCCTCTGTCTTCACATGGACTTCTCTGTGTCTTCTCTATCTCTTATAAGGACACTTGTCTTGGGTTAAGGGGTAATCCAGGGTAATCTCATCCCAAGGTCCTTAATTATACTTGTAGAGACCTTTTCCGAATAAGGTTACATTCACAGGTTCTAGGGGTTAGGACATGGACGTATCTTTTTGGAGGCCACCAGCCCTCCCTACACAACCTTATGCAGCAGGTAGTATTGTGGTCCCAGTTGAACTGACGAGTCCAGAATGGTTAGATCGCTTTTTCAGCATCGCGTAGTGCAGTGCAGAACCAGGACCGGAACCCAAGTGGCCTGTGTGCTTCACCACTGAGCTGCAGCACCTCCCTTGTGGAATCCTGGGCTCTCCAAGGAAGAGGACTAGCTGCAGATTGCACATAGGTGGGCTGCAGCCAGGCACATCAGAAAGTGAATAATCCAGATGATCTAGAGAAGTGATGCAAGGTTCTGTGGGCGCCATAGGCTTACAATCCGTGTTAAAGGGTAGGATAGCATGTGTGAGCATCATTCTGGAAAAGGGGCCTTATCTGAAGAATAAGTGGTGTAAGGCTCTTAGCATCAGGCACAGTGGCAGCTTGGGTTGGAGGGCTGGGATGTGATTAGGGACACACATCCTCCTGGCTTTGCGGTTTCTCCTTTCCTGCCATCCAGGGAAAGCTGCTCGCCAATTTGGCCAAGCGCCTGGGCCTTCACTATGTGGTCTACAGCGGCCTGGAGAACATCAAGAAGCTGACGGCGGGGAGACTGGCAGCAGGCCACTTTGACGGCAAAGGAGAGGTGGAGGAATATTTCCGGGACATCGGTGTTCCCATGACCAGTGTGCGGCTGCCCTGCTATTTCGAGAACCTCCTCTCCTACTTCCGACCCCAGAAAGCCCCGGATAGAAAGAGCTACCTGCTGAGTGAGTGCCCTTCCTCCTTGAGCATCTGCTCTGTGTGGCACTGTGGCTGTCCCAGAAAACCATGGGCTTGTCTTCAGATGGTTCCGGGCCTGAGTCCTGGCTCTCACGTTAGGTCTGTGACTGTAAGCAAGGCAAGAAACCTTGCTGGGCCTCTGCTTCCTGCTCTGTGAAATGGGCATAACACTCACTTTCACAGGGGCAATGAGAAAATCTACAGAGATGTGGTGTTACAGTCTTTGTCTGGTGGAAAGCTTTACAGAGACAAGTGCAGTTATTGTTATTTCTCCTTCAAAAATGAGAGGATTTGGAAGACGAGACCCAGTTGTAGGTTTCATAAAGTGGAAAGCACTTTCTTCTCAATGCCCATACTGGACCCTGGCTTGGAGGGAATCTTATACAACTTGTGTCTTGTCTGTTAGCCAGTGGATTAGAGCAGGACGCTCAGGAGGCCCGAGTGGGAGGGGTGAGTCCCCTCAGCGGGCCACCCCCACCCCTTTGTGCATAAACACTGGCTCACCCTTTCTCAAGACCTGCCCACCGGTGAGCAAGCAGTCTGGTCCATGTGTTGGCACATGGGCACCGCCCTTTATAGTTTGCAAAACTAGTCAGAGACACCCCTTGTGTTCTGATTTAGACCTTCATCCCCACAAGATCCCTGGGTGATCTGAATGGGCAGTTGCTATGGCCCCTTTTCATAGGTGAGGAAAATGGCATGGTCCAAGTGCTCACATCTAAACACTGCTGTCCCTTTCCATCTACAAAATCACAATTTGGCAGCTAGTCATTCTCTGGGCCAGGTCCTGGCCTCGCTTGTCAAGCATTCCTGTCAGTAGAGTTGGTGTTTGGAGAACCCACCCACCGGGTTCCACATGAGGAATTCAGGATATGGCCAAGTACACTCAGAGAAGTGTTTTGGGAGCAGTGGGCCCAGGAGTACCACTCTGTTCTCGGGGGACCTTTTGAAGCCCCTTCCTTTCCTGTCCCTTGTCCTCCCACCTCAGCCCTGAGAGAGGTCGGCCGGTCCAGGGTTCTCCCCACTCTAAGAATGGAGTAACCCAGGCTCAGAGGTTTTTTGTTTTGTTTTTAAATATATTTTTATTGATTTCAGAGATGAAGCGGGGGAGAGAGAGAGATAGAAACATCAGTGATGAGAGAGAATCATTGATCGGCCACCTCCTGCACGCACCACACTGAGGACCGAGCCTGCAGCCCAGGCATGTGCCCCAACCAGGAATCAAACTGTGACCTCCTGGTTCATAGGTCGACACTCAACCACTGAGCCATGCTGGCCAGGCTTGAATCCCATTTTCCAATTCAGTTCCACTGCTGCTTCTGCTGATGTAGATACTAGGAAGTGTCTAAGTCATGCCACGTGCTGATCTGTGCAGATGTCCGTTTGGTACTAGTCTCTACCCCACTGTCCCCTCCAGGACATGTCATGTACCAGCATGTCTCTTCCCCTTCTCCCGCAGGCTTGCCCATGGGTGACATACCCATGGATGGCATGTCCGTCACCGACCTGGGCCCTGTGGTACTCAGTCTGCTGAAGATGCCAGAACAATACATCGGCCAGAACCTTGGGCTCAGTACCTGCAGGCACACAGCGGAGGAGTATGCTGCCCTGCTCTCCAAGCACACTGGGAAGACCGTGCACGATGCCAAGGTGAGCCCCTCGGCCCCTGCTGGTCATTTCAGCCCCCCAGGAGGGCTTTGTGGGTAGTAGGAAGGGGGATATAGAAGGTAAATCTGAATTCATTAGAGCTGTGAACATCCATGCTGTGCTGTTCTTGGGAGCCAGGTATGGCTGCTGAGTGACATGTCTGGCATAGGTGGTTGACCAAGTCGGGAGGAAGGTTTCCAAAAAAGGGGACAGCAGGGGCCAAGGCCAGGAGTGAGAATGCAGGGCTGCTGGGCTCCTTTGGGATGTGCCTTGAAGGAAGGAAAGAGGGAGGAGGCCAGAGAGGTAGCCCCCCCCCCCCCACACACACACATACCTGGCCTGGCTGGGTGGGTGGGAGGCCCACAGTACCCTCCTTTCCCCACCGACCTGCAGCCCTCCAGTCCAGACCCCCGGGTTTCTTCTTGTCATTCCCATTATGAAAGTAGGACCTTCTCATTAAAGAAAGTCTCATTAACAGACAAAAGCTACCTGCAGAGCCCCCAGACCCAAACAGAGTAATGATGGGAATTTGGGGCCAGATAGACCCCCACAGACTTGGATCCCAGTCCCTGCCCTTAACACCTAACCGGGTATAATCTGAGGCATGGTCCCTGACCCCTCTCTGCTTCAGTTTCCTTATCCATGAAATGGGTGTGTGAATAGTGTCCTCTGTTTGAGTTGTTACGAGGATTGAATGAAATAGACCTGAAGCTCAGCACAATGATGTGCACTAGAAAAAAGGCCCCAATTTAGTCTGGTAAGGGGAACAGCTTTGGTTTCTGAGCAAGAAAGTGATGTAAACAGAGTTCTGATTTGGAAGGAACTGAGGTTTCATCTCAAGGTCTTAAATTAACCCAGAACAATGGTTTTTAAACTTTTATTTTTATTATTTTTTTCAAAAATTTTATTGATCTCAGAGAGGAAGGGAGAGGGAGATAGAAACATCAGTGATGAGAGAGAATCACTGATTGGCTGCCTCCTGCATGCCCCCCACTGGGGATCAAGCCCGCAGCCCAGCATGTGCCCTTGACTAGAATTGAACCCAGGACCCTTCAGTCCGAAGGCTGACACTCTATCCACTGAGCCAAACCAGCTAGGGCTGGTCTTTAAACTTTTAGAATGGTTTTAGGTGGACTTAGCAAGGACCTTGGTAGGGACTGAGGTCTCCCCCAGCCCCCACCACCTCAGCGGGATGCTGAGATGTTGATGGACCCTCACAGACCCCCGCCCCCTCTACTTCCAGACAACCCCTGAGGACTACGAGAAGCTTGGCTTCCCTGGCGCCCAGGACCTGGCCAACATGTTCCGTTTCTATGCCTTGAAACCCGACCGGAACATCGAACTGACCCTGAGGCTCAACCCCAAGGCCAGGACACTGGATCAGTGGCTGGAGCAGCACAGAGAAGACTTTTCCAGGTTGTGACCCTGCCCACCGCTCAATGCCATCGAGGGGGAGGGGAGGCGCAGTCACAGTGATCCTTTCTTATGTTACAGAGAAGTTATTTTTTAAATAAAAACCATTGTTCTCACAGATGGCTTCCAAAAGAAAGGGGCTTTGTTTCTGGGACTTGAGCTGAGGTGGCAGCTGCTGGGCACCGATTCTAACAGGAGACATTGCGTGGTGAGGGGCCAGTCCTCTCCTGCAGTGACGGGGTGTGAGGGCGGAAGAGGTGCTTGGTAACGACACACAGGACTCAAATGCAATTTTAAGTTTAGTCTAACAGTTGTGAAACAGCACTGTGACCACAGCCAGGGAGTGGCTCTGACCACCCTGTTCCACATTTGAAATTCACTCAAAAGTGTGGACAGAGCCCATGACTCAGAGGACTCCCCCCGCCAGCCAGGAGCAACACTTTTTGACATCCCTGCACACACACCCTTCGTCTCCAGAAAGCTAGTAAGGTCAACGGTGACAGCTTATTCCTTCTTTGTGAGGGTGGGGCCTCCCCTGGGTGCAGCCTCAAGATGTGCGTGATCGTCAAAACAGGCTGGGGAAAAAGCACACGGGATGTGGCAGGTCTGTGGCCCCAGGTGACCATAATTGGACACTGCTGAGAAAAGGTGATGCTGCTTGCCCTGGCTGGTGCTGCTCGGTGGTTAGAGCATAGGCCCGTGGACCAAAGGGTCTCTCAGGTTTGATTCCTGGTCAAGGGCACGGACCTGAATTGCTGGTTCACTCCCTGCCCCCTGGTCAGGGCATGTGTAGGAAGCAGCCAATCAACGTGTCTTTCTCACATCAATGTTTTTCTCTCTCTATCCCCCTCCCTCCTTTCCACTCTCTCTGAAAAGCAATGGAAAAAATATCCTCTGTTGAGGATTAACAAAACAAAACACACACATACACACAGAGGTGACACTACTTGCAGCAAAGGCTAAGAGTGAAACCAGGAAGTAACAACCCTGCTTTGTTTGTAGAGTCCACCAGGCATTTGGAGGCAGGTGGTGCAACCTGCCATTTCCTGTTCACTTGAGAGAAAAGGAACAAAGGCCTAGAGAACACAGGCTACTCACCCAAGGCTCAATGGCCAAAGGTGCTGTGGCAGCCTTATTTTCTGTGGATTTGTGTAATCTCCATCACAGCCCTTTTTACTCCCCTTGGTACCCAGAGACTTGGGAAAGGGGTGGTAGTTCTACCAAACTCATGCCATCTGTTTATTAATTTAGAAAGCACTTACCATTGTGCTGGGTTCTCAATACAGTGTTAACCAAAAATGTTACGCTCCATGCCTTGAGGAGAGCCAGATACAAATATGCAATAAATAATTACAGATTGACATAGAGCTGCAGAGAACAAGGATAACAATTGGAAGGGGCCTTTTTTAAAAATATGTATTTTTATGGAAAGAGAAATTTCAATGAGAAAGAAACATTGATTGGCCGTCTCCCACATGCTCAAGCCTAAACCTGGGCATGTGCCCTGACCAGGTATCAAACCAGTGACCTCTTGGTGCATGGGTTGACACTCAACCACTGGGCCACACCAGCTGGGCTAGAGGGGCCTACTTTAATGGGGATGGGGACAGCCTCTGAGATCTGAGGGGAGGACAGTGAGCCTCTGAGGCAGGGTAGGAGGGAAAAGACCATGACAGCTTGGGATTCCAACCTGCCTGGGCCAGCAAGAGAACATGAGAGATTATTTGCATCCAGCCCTATGTGATGATACCCAAGTCCCACAGGTCCCCTGGTGGGAAACTTACCTGTCTGGGGCTGTGGTTCAGGGTGGTCCTGCCTGACTTCGAATCACTACAGTAGGAAAGCACATGCCCTAGCTGGTTTGGCTCAGTAGATAAGAGTGTCGGCCTATGGACTGAAGGGCCCCTGGTTCGATTCCCTTCAAGGGCACATGCCGAGGTTGTGGGCTCGGTCCCCGGTGGGGGGTGTACAGGAGGCAGCCAGTCAATGATTCTCTCTCATCATTGATGTTTCTATCTCTCTCTCCCTCTTCCTCTCTGAAATCAATAAAAATACATTTAAAAAAAAAGTGGAACAAATTGTTTAAAAAAAAAAAAGGCAAGCACATGGGGGGGTCACACCACAAGGAGGGGACGACTCCCGGTGCCACCATGTCGTCCTATTGGCTGAGGTGTTCCCAGCACACATCCTGATCAGGTGGACTGCCATGTGTGCCTGGTCTTCTAAAATTTGGTCCCTGAAATACATTAGTTAGCTCTCATTTATTTTTTACTTGCTTAGCTATGGTAGAATATACATAACATAAAACTTACTATTTTAGTCATTAAAAATATTTTGATTTTTAGAGAGAGAGGAAGGGAGGAGGAGAGGGACAGAGAGAAACATCTATGTGAGACTGGAACATGGATTGGCTGCCTCCTGCCCGGCCCCTTCTGAGGATTGAGCCCACAACCCGGGCATGTGCCCTGAACAGGAATCGAACCAGCAACCTTTTGATGCGTGGGACAACACTGGCCAGGGCTATTTCAGTCGTTTTTAAGTGTACAGTTCAGTGGCAATAAGTACATTCATTGTTGTACAACCATCACCACCATCCATCTCCAGAACTTTTTCATCATCCCATACTGAAACTCTGTACTCATTAACCCAGGGGTCCTCAAACTTTTTAAACAGGGGGCCAGTTCACTGTCCCTCAGACCGTTGGAGGGCCAGACTATAGTTTAAAAAAAAACTATGAACAAATTCCTATGCACACTGCATATATCTTACTTTGAAGTAAAAAAACAAAACCGGAACAAATACAGTATTTGTATTTGCATGTGGCCCGAGGGCTGTAGTTTGAGGACCCCTGCATTAACCTTTAACTAACCCTCCTCCCTCTAGCCCAGGGGTGGGGAATGTCCAGCCCACAGGCCTTAAAAGGCCCTGGAAATCATTTGGTCTGGCCCGGCCAAAGCAATTGCAGGCGGGGTTCGAAATTCAATAAATCTAGGAGCTTTTTTCATAGCAACATGAATTTATTTATTTTATTTATTTTTTTTTTAAAATATATTTTATTGATTTTCCACAGAGAGGAAGGGAGAGAGACAGAGAGTTAGAAACATCGATGAGAGAGAAACATCGATCAGCCGCCTCCTGCACATCTCCCACCGGGGATGTGCCCGCAACTCAGGTACATGCCCTTGACCGGAATCGAACCTGGGACCCTTCAGCCCGCAGGCCAACGCTCTATCCACTGAGCCAAACCGGCCTTGGCTAGCAACATGAATTTATATTGTGAATTATATTCAGCAAATGATATTAATATTCAAGTGGCCCTTGTCAGAACAAAAGGTTCCCCACCCCTGTTCTAGCCCCTGGCAACCTCCCTTCTACTTTCTGTCTCTATGAGTTTGACTATGCCAAGCATCTCATAGAAGTAGCTGCCAGCATTTCAAAATGAGACATTCATAGCAGTACTACTGATAATAGAAATATCAATTATTATTGATAATGGGGGAAAATGTCTATTATAGAATGGAATATTATTCAGCCATAAAAAGAAATGAAATATTGATTTATGCTACAACACGGACAAACCTTGAAACATTATGCTAAATGAAATAAGAACCACAGGCAGTCACATATTGTATGACTCCATTTAGATACCACGCACAGAACAGAATTGTGGTTGCCAGAGACTGAAGGACTTGGGAGAAAATGGAGAGTAACTGCTAATGGATTTGGAATTTCTTTGAGGTAATGAAATTTTTCTAGAATCGAGTGTGGTGATGGTTGTACAACCTTGGAACTAAAACCCACAAAATTGTACACTTTAATGGTGAGTTAAATAGTACGTAAATATCTAAATAAAACTGTTACCTCAAAAATGACGTATCACTCCACATAAACAATCTGGATGCCACCCTTGTTGGTGCTGTTCAGTGGTTAGGGGTCGGCCCTCGAACTGAAGGGTCCCAGGTTTGATTCCAGTCAAGGGCACGTACCTGGGTTGCAGGTTCCCTGCACCAATTGGGGTGTATGTGGGAGGTAACCAATTGATGTGGCTCTTTCACATCTATGTTTCTCTCTCCTCTCTCCCCCTCCCCCTCCCTCCCACTCTCTCTAAAATCAATGGGAGAAATATCCACCAGTGGGGATTAACAGCAAAAAGTGTTATGTTTGATTCCTGGTCAGGGCACCTACCCAGATTTTGGGTTTAATCCTCGGTTGGGGCGTGTGCAGAAGATAGCCGATGGATGTTTCTCTCACATTGATGTTTCTTTCTCTCTCTCCCTTCCTCTAAAATCAATATTTTAATAAAAGTCTATTAAAAAATATATGGATGCCCAGCTTCTCTTGGAAAGCACAAGATATGGCAGCACTGGGTCTGAATTCCTGCATTAACCCCCTACCCTGCTTTGGGGAGCTGAAGAGTGGCTGTCCCCTTTACTAGTAAACAGGGCAGCCAGTCTCCACTCCCTACCATCTCCTGGGCACTGAAGCTGCAGGTCAGGGCCCACTTTGTTTCTTTTCTGTGTGTTAATCCTCACTGAAGGATATTTTTCCACTGATTTGGAAGAGAGGGAAGGAGGAGGGGGAGAGCGAAAAACATCGATGTGAAAGACACACTGGTTGGTTGCCTCCCCCATGTGCCCCGACCGGGGCCAGGGATCAAACCTGCAATCCAGGTATGTGCCCTTGACCAGGAATCGAACCTGCGAGCCTTTGGCTCTGACCGGTGACCCACACTGGCCAGGGCTCACTTTGTTTCTTTATGTAAAGTTCCTTGACTGGGCCATGTGTTTGACCCGTCACAAGGATCATGTCAAATAAGCAGAACTGGTTAAAAGATATAAAGTTCAGGTTTCACAGTGTTTATTAACAAGAGTGCTACATGCCTCCCACAAAAGCCGTGACAGCTGATATAACAAAGTATTCAGTGAAGGGCTCCAATTTTACAGAACAAAGTAAAGGGCAGGGACGGTCCTGGGAAGTAGGCTTGTGGGATTGGAGAGATTCTTATACACTAAGGGGGGTTTTCATGACAGGGAAGTAACATTGCACTCAAGTCCACCAGAGCCCAAAGGCCTGAGGAGGAGGATGGCTCAGGTGGGAAAACAAACCAGAAAAGAGGCC